TGGCCGTATTCAATCCCACGATTTGCTTCAACCAAGAAAAATTTTCTTGGTTCAATACTTTTTTTTTCAGTGTACTGAGTATACTTCCTATGAGTTTCATTGCAACAGGAGCGGTCGAACACATAAATAATTAAAATTGTTTATAAAATTCTTATTAAAAATACGGAATTTTTAAATTTACAATCATGCAAATATTTTCTATTAAAAGAGTGTAAACAATGTTGTGTAAATAGTGTAAGTTTTATTAATTTATTGAAACGGCTTTTGAGTTATTAATTTTTTTTAAATTTTGTAATATTTTGTTAATTTCAGTAAGATATTTACTTATGTCAAACCCATATTTTCTTATTTCAATAACTTTGATCAATGCTCAAAATTACTTGACACAAGAAAATAAATTTCTTCCAATAAGAAAATATGGGTTTGTTTCAAATAAATCAGGTCAAGAAAATGCATTTACTTGATTCAATGAACTTTTTTTTCAGTGTAGTCTCTTCTTGAAACCCCCCAAAAAAAATTTTGGTATTTATAAAAGTTTTAACATTTTAGAAAATCAATGAAATTTTTTTAACACAGTTGAGCTGGTCTGGCATACACTGAAAAAAAAATTATTTAAATCAAATAAAAATTATTTGATTCAAATAAATTATTTATTTGGTTGTAATCCAATAAATGTGTATTTGAACCAAATACATAAATATTTGAACTAAATATTTTATATTATCGCACCAAATAATTGTTTATTTGAATCAAATACAACTAATTCAAATCAAAAAAATAGAATATTTGAATCTAATAAATGATTATTTGAATCAAATTCAAAATATATTCAACTCAAATATATATTTATTTGACCCGAATATTTTATTTAATTGTATCAAATAACTATTTATTTGAATCAAATTCAAATTATTTTAATCAAATAAATCGAATATTTTAATGTAATAAATAATTATTTGAATCGAGTATGAAAATTATTTCATTCAATATTGATAATTTCAACATCAACAAATATTAATAAAAAAAATAACTAATTGCAAAAGATAAATACTGATGACAATTCATTGATAGTTCACTTTCACATTTTTTTATACACTTAAACGCAATTTTTATTACATACACATTTGAAAAATCCTAACGCTTGGGGGTACGAACCCACGCCTAACCGAATATTCACGCACCGAAGTCACGCAGGCTAACCACTATACTACGCTCGCATGGGACTCTCAAATCTTAAATACTCTCAAGTGTCACTAGCTCAAATAAAACTTGTAGAATTACTACAAGGCAGTGAACAATTTTGCCGCTATATTTTCAATACTTTATTCAATGTATATTTACGAATATATTTCAATATTTCTTTAAAAAATCAACTTATTGTAATATTTTTATTTATATATTTTTTAGTAATATTAATTATTATGTCAATAATAATAAATTTATATAGTAATAATATAAATTTATTTGTAATAATTATAAATAAAATAAATTTATTGTGTCAAATAATTTTTATTTGCATCAAATAAACGAAATATTTGGGTAAAATAAATGAATGAATAGTTTCAAGTAACTCATTATTTTCGTTTCAAATAATTATTTAATTGATTGAAATATTTTTTTATTTATCTTGATAAAACGTATATTAGCTTTGAATAATGAATTATTCGGATTAAATATTTCAGTCTATTAGAATCAATAAAATAAATTCACTGAATCAAATAATTCTTACTTGCATCAAATAAATGAAGTATTTGAGTAAAATAAATGAAAGCAGTTTCAAATAATTCATTATTTTCGTTTCAAATAATTATTTAATTGATTGAAATATTTTTTTATTTGTCTTGATAAAATATTATATTAGCTTTGAATAATAAATTATTCGGAGCAAATAATTCCGCTTATTAGAATCAATAAAATAAATTTATTGTGTCAAATAATTTTTATTTGCATCAAATAAACGAAGTATTTGAGTGAAATAAATGAAAGAATAGTTTCAAATAATTCAATATTTGTATTAAATAAATTTATTTATTCAATTCAATTAACTATTTATTTAAATCAAGTACGATTTATTTGGTTCAAATAAGTATGATTCAAATAATTGCAGATATTTAAATCAAATACATATTTTTTTGATCCAACTAAAAAGTATTTAAATCAATTAAATATTTTTCAAATAATTTGAATTATTTGAATCAAATACATTTTTTTTCAGTGTAGTCATTTTGGGAATTTTAATTTTTACGAATTTTCAGTTTTTTATTTCGCTTAATGTTAATTTTTGCAAAAAATTACAAAGCGGTCAAATGACATTTGAGCAAAAATGTATTAAATATTTAATTAATATTTTTTACATAATAGCATATATTTGCAAATCTCTACCTATAAATATTTCAATTTCTGCTTGTATTTTTATAGGTACTTACAAAAATTATAATATTTTACATAAACTTACGTTTTTCAAAGTTGCAGTTTATATAGACAGGTCGAAAAATATTTCTCACGTCGATTTGGTAGCCGCAGTCGTTAAGCGTTTAGATAGATAGGTCATAGGTACGGGGTTCGATTCCCATAGGGTTCAAGTTTTAATTCAATTCTTCCAGTTTAATTAAAATGTTTGTATGTTTGGACCGTGCTAAGAATATAAAGTTATTAATGGTCATAAGAATTTTTTATTATTTTTTCCACAAATATTTTTTTTCAAAACTATCTGTTCAATTGTAACCACCTTGGATTTCGAATTGTGAATCGATCTAGTATATATATATTTTTTTAAAAAAATATCCCATATGTACACGGAAAAAAAAAGTTCACGAATCTCTCGTGAACTAGTATATCACTTTTGGATGGGACACAAAATTCTTGAAAATCAACAAACACAGTTCGTCAAAATTTCATCAACTCCTTCACTAGAAACATAGTACTGTTTCCGAACTTTTCGTCAAAGTTAACGAAAAATTCGTCAACTTTTAAAAAATGCTAAAAACAAGAAAAAATAATTTCCAGACACTACTTTTTTATAGTATTTCACTTTATTTGATAACTTGACGCCTATTACGCATCCAACTACACAGAATACACAATTTTATCGCCATTAAAATTCGTAATTGCTTCACGGGATTCGAACCTAGTACCTATACCCTATAACATAATATTTCTAACAACTAACCGCCACGGCTAAATCTAGATACACTGTCCTTCGACAAACGAAACGATTAGCTTTGTCTGCTGTAAAACTCAGGACCGTGCAAAGTAGAAAAAGTCCCTTATCGTAACTTTTAATTCATTTTATGAATTATTTGTTTCACAAAGGAAATTATCAAACAAAAATATTCACTAAGTAATAAAAAACACTGATTCTAAATAATAACTTTCATCAAAGAATTTTCCCGAATGTAAACACCGATGACACCGACTGAATGATGAATGCTTGATCAGCCATATTTGATGCGCATTACGAACTGCGCATACTACTGACACTCGCGAGTTCACGATTTTTTCGTGAACTTGTACCTCTACTTTTGACGAACTACTCTTCATTAACAGTTCATCAAAAATTCATTAACTTTGTTTCAGTTTTTCGTTGACGTTCGCCATTTCTAATCAAAAGTGAATTAAAATTTTGAAATTTTGTGTCCCATCCAAAAGTGATATACTAGTTCACGAGAGATTCGTGAACTTTTTTTTTCCGTGTATGTGCAAATTCAAAGTATATTTAAAATATGTCAAGAGAATACTTTAAAAAAAATTGAAGTATTAAAGGAAAATTTTTTTTTTTTCATATAGAAACTCATAATATGGAATCTCAAAAAACTTGGGGAAAAATTGTCATGCCTATACGCTGTAACGAGAATTGTTTTTTCAAATGAATTCTTAACGACAAATTACAAATTGGTTAGCCAAAGTCTTTAATTCTCCATTACAAAAATAATAATACAAAATTTACCGGAAGGGCGCCAGTACAGGAATTCCGTCTAGCGCAGCGCTATGATAGCGCTGCGCTATCTTAGCGCAAAAAACATAACACAGTTGTAATCGATCACCAAACACTTCTTTCTATCTTGAGAGACAAATTCATAGATGTCAGTCAAATTAAAGTTTATAATTGAAAGTTTAAATGTTTTTAAGCCGTGAAAGTTCATGCAAATAAGGCATACATGGATTTTAAAAATATTTTTATCGAATATATAGAATTGAAGGTGAATAGAAGAGATTTAGTCACAAATAATAAAATTGATTGCCTTTTCAGGTTATAAGGTTATTTTTCAAATTATCGTAAAACGTAATTTAAAATAGGTAATTAAAGAAATAGTTTAAAATTTTTATTTCCCATAAAAGAATATTTTGAAAGTGTCATAATTCTCGCAGTGATTTAAATATAAAATCCTTAAATGTATTTCTTTATTTTTCATGATTATAGCTGCAGTTTACTATTTCAAATTTCTTATGCTTCTCAAGAAGCTTAAAATAATATTTTAACCTAACGTTCTGCAGCATTTACTGTTTTTTCCATATTCTCAATTCATAAATAAATTTTTGAATAATGTCCGAATATTTTCCGTGTATTTGTTATTATTTTTCTAAAATAATTTTTTTTATGATTTTTTAAATATAAAATTCTGATACTTTTATATGTCGTAATCAGCATTTAAAATATAACTAGAGTAAACTTAGTATTCTTAATGAATAAATGGATGAAATTTTTAGTATTTGAAAAATGATTTTGAAAGGAAAATATAAAAATAATATATTGGTCTTCTCCAATCAATTAATTGTAAAATATACAATTTATTTTGGATAGTTTAGATAACATAATTGTTAGTAATTACATAAAAAAATTAACCTCATTTAAATAAATAAAAGTTTTTAAGAAATAATTTTTTTCTATCGCTTGTAACATTGTTTATCACTTATTTGTGAAATTTTTAGTTCAATTACGATTTCGAGAATTTAAATGATAATAATTAAAATTTGTTAACCTATTTTATTTGTATAAATAACTACAATTTATTAAAATTCAATAAAGTGTCGGATGTTTGGACTATAACATTTAAAATATTATTTAATGTGCTGCCAATTTCTTTTTGCAGTTTTCGTCTCTCTTCGTGCATTTCTTGTAAGGTAACAGTCATTTCATCTTGCTGCTGAAAATCAAAAAATTTAATTTATATATATATATATATATATATATATATATAATTTTTGTCAATGTTTAATAGAAAAGAAACATTATATTTATAATAATTGTTTTTTCAATACTCAAGGCTTTTCCGAAGATGAAATAAAAAAATTGCATTTAATATTTGTATATTGTAAGTTTAATATTATTAAGAAAATGGTTAGAAACTTAAGGAGAGGGGGTGAAGCGGTTTTATTAAATCAGTATTTTACTTTGATGGCTAATGGATTCAACCGATTTTATTTTTTATAAGTTTATTTGTTATGTTCACCAATGTTACATTTATTATTATTTTATTTGTAAGATTAATTGTGTTTAATAAATATGATTGTTATTTGATAAATACGAATACCCTTTTCTTTAATGGAACTACAGTTTCAAAATCATAGTCTTCATCAGAAAAAATATTGATTGGCACGTTATTCAAGAATAGAAATTTGGAATCTTGGACAGGTTGATGTTTTTTACGTTTTGGTTTAGGTTCAGTATAATTAAGTTCAGGCTAAAAAATGTAGATAAAATGAAATAAACATTTATATGTGTATTATGTGTAATTTCTAATAGACTTTAAGACAAAAAATAATTTACTTTATTCCCATCATTTAAAAAAAGTAGAAAAATTATAATATTCAATTCTTAAAAATTTAATGTTTTAGTATTATCTGTATTTGGTTTTACCTATCTTTTCATTTTTTGGATTAAAGAAAGTCAAAAAATAATTATGTTATTTTATTATACTGTTATATTACAAGCGATAATTTTTACCATTACAATAAATGATAATAAATAAATAAATAAATAATTTAATAAATAAATTGATAAGTAAATAATAAATTTTTAAACAATATAAAAAATCGTTTAAAAAATAGGAAACTAATATTTTTGCTTACATCACTTTCTAACCCTATTTCCTTTGTGACCCCATCTCCTTCTACAGATGTCTTTCCTTTGACAGCAAGAAGCCTATCTTCAATCGGTGTTAGGATAAGCAGATTTTTCATCAAGTTCCCTCCTCCGCTTGAATTTCTAATTCGTCTTATTTCAGCGGCCTTGTTTTTTACATTGCTGGTCCAAGAAGCTAGAACCTGTTAAAAGTTTTAATTTAAAGACGCCAATTTTTAATAAAATAACTTTTTTATATAATTTTATATGTAATAATTTCTATTTATTATGTAAACGATTTAAATGCACATTTCCAAGAGTTTCTACTTTTTAAGGCTTTAAAAAATATTATCTTCCGAATCATTTAAAATTATTCTTTTACACTTATTAATAAAATTATACTCACCATCTGCCATTTCATAGATGACCTTGCATTATTAGACATTTTGTTAAGCTGTTTTGCAATTTTCACCCATTCTTGATTAAACAAGAATCTCGAGAAAGCACTAGTAAATTTTTTAGTTAGTAAGATAGGATTGTCCTCTACGCACTCTAATAAATGCAATTGTTGGCTTAATGTGATTTTTCTAATCTTCTTGTTTTTAAATCCTTCCTTCTTCATATTCACTTTAAAAAATTCTATTTATTTGATTGTGTATTTATGTTTCTTTGTAGTTTCTGTAATATAAATAGAATTAAAAGCTTTCGTAATTACTGTTTATAATGTTAAAACGTTTAAGAATTCTAAATTAATCAATTCTAGAGAACTGTCAACAACAAAAAATTTTTCTATCACATAGGTGTTTTGTTTTTTTTATTATTCTATTCTGCAGAAAAAATGGGAAATAAGAAAAACGTACAGTTAGTGAATATTTTTTATTTTGAATAAATGAGGAACAAAAAGAGAGAAATAGTTTGAAATAGTTTTTTATGATAATTTTAATATTAGTGTCTTTTAAAATTTTATACAACACTAAAGCATGTAAACTTGCAGCAAATTGCCAATATTGCTCAAAGTTTAGGTGTAGTGAAGTAACTTTAAAATATAAAATTCTAGAAGTGAATATAAAAAATGCGAATATAGTTAAATTGCTATTAATAAACTATATTTCACTGTTTCTCATTAATAAATAATAAGAATGTGTAAAGTAATTACTTATTTACACATTGAAAATTACTTTAACGCATTGGAATTCACATAATACTCTGCTATCGGTGTGTATAATATCATTTTGCATTTTGCTTTATAAAGAGAAGTATTTCTGCGTTTAAAATAGAAAAAAAATTACTTTAATAATTTTATACAATCGTGGAAATCTAAGTGTTGACCCACTATAAGAAAGAATTTATTGGCAATTCAAATAATTTGTCAAATTATCGCGGTTTAGTAAAAAATGATTTTTCAAATAATTTACTTCGAGTTACATTTCATAGTATCGAGATATTTCATATGTCAGATGTCAATACTGGAAGACAAAAATTTTATTTTGTAAAACGTTTCTTCACTTGATGAATAAATAATTCAAACTTTTAAAAGTTTTATTGTTATTTTAATAATTTTGTGTATTTTTAGTGCTAAGCATTTCTAAAAGTATTTATTATTCATAGAATATCAAAGTTTTTAGAGGAAAAGGTAAATAACCTTTTTATGATTATTTCATTTTTATAAAAATGAAATCATAGTTATATTATTTCACTAAAATAAATATTAATATTGTCTTTAGAGATGTTTCCTGCTCAATTGAGTTTGGCAAATAATTTTTTGCGTGAAGAAAATAGATTACAAGTTGATAAGAAAAGAAGATTTCGCAAGCTCCATATACAACACCTGTCATTGAGAACATCTAGCGATCCATTTTCTCTTCCTGATAATCGGTTTATAGATCTTTTTAGACTAAATAAATTCATTGTTCAGTATCTCATAATGGAATTAAAACCATTAATGAAAATGTCATCACGGTTTAATGCGATTCCTCCGGAACTTAAAATTTTCGCCTCTTTGATATTTTATGGTACAGGAACGTACCAAAGAGTAACTGGACAATGTTACATGACTTGCATGAGTCAACCAATGATATGCAGATCAATTCACGAAGTGACTTCTTTGATCGATTTGAACCTCGCAAAGGAATTCGTAAAATTCCCTATTAGCCGAAGTAGAAGACAAGAAATTTCAAACAAATTTGAAAGAATCGTTGGTTTTCCCGGCATTATTGGTGCTGTCGACTGTACTTTTGTGATAATGATAAGTCCATCTGAAGAGGAGCACAATCACGTTAATCGTCATAATCAACACGCCAAAAATGTTCAAATTGCAAGTTCAGAATAAAAATTACAAATTATTTTTTATTAGAGGTGTACAAAAATCTCAAAGCTCGATCGAGTATTTTCGAACTTCTCATTTTTCAAGACGAGTCGAGCTGTACAGAAAGTTCGAATATTTTCGAGCTCTCGAGTAAATTCGAGTTTTAGAGTATATTTTTTAATTTAAAAAATAAATTTTTCAATTCATTCATTATTAGGTATATTATAATATAATTTGGCAAATTTTTATATTTCTAATATTTTAAATTTTTCTAATATTTTCAAGGTATGTGATAATGAATTGGTGATTTTGAATGTCAATGCTGCCCATGCAGGTAGTAGTCACGATAGTTTTATTTGGAAAAATTCTGCTGCAAGGGAGGAATTAAATCGAAGTCATGTTGAAGGACAATCATGGAAAGTCTTAGCAGATTCAGGTTATCCACTTGAACCGTGGACAATGACTCCAATATTGGGCGCAAGAGTTAATTCTCCAGAATGGAAATATACGAAAGCACATATGCAAAGGGACGAAATTGCATTGAAAGATTGAACGGAGTACTCAAGAGCAGATTCAGAAGTTTAAAGGAAGAAAGAGTTTTGCGTTACAATCCCGTATTTGTCGGTGAACTGGTAAATGTCTGCAGTACGTTACACAACATGTGTAAAAGTGCTGGCATGCCTGATTTTCCTATTGAAAACAGGGGTCCGAGACGTCCGAGATGTATTAATCACCAACCATTGCAGAGAAATAGACTCTTCATTGAAGGCAATCGAATTAGAGAGCAGATTATATACACCTATTTTTGATAAAATTAAGGCATTAAATTGTATTCTCGTTATCGATTATTATTATATTATTTCAGTTACATTAATCTAAATAAATAATAATATTCTAAATAAAAATAAAATTTTTAGTCTATTAAAGAAATATAAAAAAGAAATCATAAATATTGGCACTTTCTATTTCCATTAGTCGGTAAATATTCACCACAATTATCTACCATAAACTGTGAATTAATTCAAATATATAATAAATAATTCAAATTAATACAATTAAAAAAAATGTTAAAAACTTGCTTAAGGGGACGGTCCGGTAAAATTACAACTCTTCAATATTTACGTTGTTTTAAATATTTACGATTGATTGTTCAGAATCTTAAAAAACCATAAAAAATTATTATTAAAATTTTCGCCATTAAAAAATAAAAAGTGTCTTTTTCCTCTGTATAAAAATTCTACAAAAAAGTTTCGTTTTAGGCATTTACTGTGGTGTAACCCCTTAATTAAAATTGAGAGATATTACAATTATTTTTAAGGATTTAAATAGCAATATTATTATTGAACATTAATAAAAATCGTTTATTAAATTATGTTTTGATCATTAAGGATACAAAGAGTAATTTGTAATATAAAGTAAATTATAACTCAAAGAAATTGGGGCATACTAGATAACTGCGTATAAACAAATTTCCTAGGAAAATTATTAAATTTGATTTAAAAAACTGTATTATAAATTTGCTTACGATTAAAAATTAAAAACTTGAATAATAATAATAATAATAATAATAATAATAATAATAATAATAATAATAATAATAATAATAATAATAATAATAATAATAATAATAATAATAATAATTTTTTTTTTTTTTTTGCGTGGGAAGTGGAAAATCTGCTATAACCTTGGAGGCCTACTTCCAAGTCAGATACCTGGAGCCCGTACTCCTAGGTTATGTGGGGATGACCGCTCTTGTTCTGGCCGACCCACTAAAAACCACTCCCTTTTGAGACATATCTCCCCTGGCGGAACTGCTGTCAAGCTTACATCGCCAGTGGAGGTCTCCTTACCTACTTCCAGATCCAAGTCCTTAACAAGGCGCCAGCTGAAGAGGGAGGAGTTCCAATTAAGGTCTCCTCCGTCCTCCGCGAGCGCCCCGCCGAGCAGCAGGAATTCTCCAGGGTAATCTCGCCCTTCTGTCGTTCTCCTTCCTCCTCATGACTTCGATGACAAAAGTCTCGACTTCTCGCCATGAGTCCGCGCTCTGCAACATAATTGAAACCATATTCTCGACCGTGACTTCAGTGCCCACGGCCGAAAACATGGCTTCCCTAAGTTCACGCCAGTGCCCGCAGGAAAAAAGCGTGTGCTCCGCGTCGTCAGTGTGCTCTGCTTCGTCGTCACCCGAACCGTTACAGTACACACATTTCGCGTCTGCTTCTATTTTAAACCGATAGAAGTACTGTCCGAAACAACCATGACCAGACATCGCTTGTGTAAGGTAGTAGCCTACTTCACCGTGTTGTCTTTCCAACCATGTGGCGAGGTGGGGAATTAGGCGATGAGTCCATCTACCTTTCAATTCCCCATCCCATCTCTCCTGCCAACTCAGAACGAGTCTTTTTCTTGACTCTAAGCGGATTAGAGCTTTGAGTCTTTCTCTACGCTCCGGGTTGCCTACTAGATCTTTGGAGAGCTGGAAATTCTCCTGCCTTTCCATCGCCAACAAATCCATTGGCGGTAATCTAGCAAGCACCCGAAGAGCGCAATCAGACACCGTTCTGAAGGCTGACGTTATTCTCCTTGCTGGCTCTCTCTGGGCCGAGAGAAGTCTGTCAGAGATGCTGTGGATCTTAAGGGCTGAAGCCCATACAGGGGCAGCATAAAGCTGCTTTGATTGAACCACAGTCGCCACCAGTCTTCGTTTATTTTCCCTGGGGCCACCGATATTGGGCATCATCCTCGAGAGGTTTCCCATGCATTCGGTGGCTTTGAGTGTTGAGATGTTAATATGTTGGCCAAAACTTAAACGTTTGTCCAACCACACTCCCAGGTACTTAAGCTTATTTCCCCATGCGACTTCAGTTCCTCCCATTTCAATCTTCGGGGCTTCATAAACTCTCCTGTCTGTGACGAGTAGAGCTTCGGTCTTCTCGAGAGCCATTTTCAGACCATGCCGATATAACCAAAATTCAGCTCGCCGCAGACTATCTTCAAGTTTTATTTTTAGCAGTCTTAAATTCTCGTCGTAACATATTAAAAGCACGTCGTCCGCGAACCCGGATATAGACGTATCTTCGGGTAAGTCCAACCTCAGAAAACCGTCATACATAACGTTCCAGATGGTTGGCCCCACCTTTGATCCTTGGGGAGCTCCACATGTCATTTTCTCTTTGATATGACATGCATCGCTCTCGTAGACAACCCATCTGTCGCTAAGATAGTTGTCTATCATTCGCAACAGATACGTTGGTACCCCTTTACATCTCATTGCTTTCATACAAATATCCCATTTCGCGGAATTGAACGCGTTACGGATATCAATTGAAACGAGCGCGCAAAAACCCTTCTTCCGTCCCTCTTTGACCTTTTTCGCCTTTTCGAGAACTGCTAAGATCGCGTCTACTGTCGACCGGCCTTTCCTAAAACCGAATTGATTCTCTGATAAGCTATTTTCGCCTACCAGGATTCCCTGAAGTCGCTCTAGAATCATTCCCTCTAGAAGTTTACCCATCGTGTCCAATAAACAAATTGGTCTAAACGATGAGACTTTATCTAGAGGTTTATCCCCTTTTCTCAGGAGGACCAACCTCTGTGTTTTCCAGTCACTGAAAAACTCTCCACTCTCGAGACATGTATTAAAGACGTCGAGGAGTAACTCTGGATACACAGCGATTACCTCTTTGAGGATCTCGTTGGGTATTCCGTCGCTGCCTGGCGCTTTGCCGTTCCTCAACGTCCTTGCCACCTTTTTAAGCTCCTCCAGCGTGAAGAGCTGGACGCCCTGTCCCTTTTTGAGAACCAGAAGGAGATCATTCCTTTTGGTCCTCCGAATCGACAATATCTCCGTCCCCGTATCCTCAGGCCTAACCGCCGCCTTCATTTTACTAATTATGTTCGGATCTTTTGCGGATATCACAATTGCATCCGTCGATTTTTCTTTCTTTTTACGTGAGGGTCGATCGGTCTCATTGCTCGACTCCCCCGTCATTTCTATCAACTTTTCTTCATCCCTTTTCTTTTTTTTCTTTTTCTTCTTTTTTTTGACCTCTTTCCAGGTTTCATTTTCCTGGAGAGAGTTCAATTTCTCCTTTTCTTCGGCAGCAGGCTTGCTGTCCCTTGGGTCCAGCTCGCCTGTTTTGCCCTTCTTTTTCTCAACTTTCTCTGGTGGTGTCCCAGAGGCATCTCTCTTTCTTCCTTTTCTTTCAGAGTTCGGAGTCGCCAAGGGTATTGTCCCCTGGCGGCCTCGAGCTCTCTTCTGGCTGAGGGAATCCACTATCTCTAAATTATGAGAAAAGCAGGCCCCCTCCTCCATCATATCCTTTAAGATGCCTCTGAGGCTATCACTATGGTGATATGCCTCTCTGGCACTGATTTTCACCTCCCTGGAGTTGTTCTTGAGCATCCCTTCCTTCACTATTTCTAGTGATTTGAAGAGTTGCTCAACCACCACAGACTGCTTCTCCATAAGTCCAAGAATGACTTGCCATTCTTCGACGATCGGTGAAGCAGTCCGCGATACCAGGGTCTCCTTTTCCTTTTCGATGATGGACTCAGAGGAAACTACGCTCTCCGTCTCCATCATCACTTTTCCGTCACCGTTATGGTCAGAAGGACCAGTGTGCTGTTGGCCCCCTCCAAAATCCGTGGGCCTTGCGTCGACCATCGGGGCTTTAACCCAATCGGAATCGACGGCAGGATTAGCCTCTGTCGAGGTACCTGCTTGGAGGATAACGTTCGTTACATCACACATTTCATTAAAAAACGTAGTTCGGTATTTGATATGGGTGTGATGCTTAACAGTGTAAGTGTATATGTGTCGTGTTATGTAAGTGAATAATAATAATAATAATAATAATAATAATAATAATAATAATAATAATAATAATAATAATAATAATAATAATAATAATAATAATAATAATAATAATAATAATAATAATAATAATAATAATAATAATAATAATAATAATAATAATAATAATAATAATAATAATAATAATCCCCGCCGATGGTTGTCCACTACCGAACATCATCGATGTCTTTGATGTGCTGGGAGAAGTGGATGCTTATCCACTGCCAGACATGATTGACATCATGGATATGTTCGGTAGACCTTGCCGTGGTGGCGGGGCTTTTCACTAAAGGGCAACCAACAGGGTGGTTCCCTGATTCTAAAACCAAAAAAAAATGAATGAAATGGATAAAGATTCAAATAAATTACTCCAAACGGGTACCTCAAATGAGGGTAATCCCGTCACCGATTCTGATCGGGTTCAAGCCCCGGTAGTCGGTGCAGACGGCTCCAAGGATTTTGGAGGGAGCCAAATAAAAAATTCTGAGGATGTGGGACTTAGCAGATTCGAAGAAAATGTTTTAGAACAGGTCGATCTGATCCCAATAATACTGGATAGTATGTGGCGTGCTTGCAAAAAGCAAAAAAACATTAGCAAGGATGTTAAGGATGGAATGGTGGCAATGGAGAAGGTGCACGAGGTGCTTTGCAGAAACCTGCGATTTATACCTAAGCCCTTCATTAGCCCAAGCAAACC